CCCCCCCGGCCGGCCCCCTCCGCTCCCACCACCTGGTGCTGCAGCGGCAGCCGGAAAGTCAAGAGTGAACTTCGGCTGAACCTGGACCTTAACATTGGACCGCGGCGCCGACCCCGGGCCCCTCAGAGTTTTTTCTTTTTGGGGCATGACGTCACACCTCTTTGATATTTTCGATCTTCTTTCCTAAGGCCCCAAAAATGGCAGCGGGATCCCGGAGACGTCCCCTGGTCGCCACGAGACAAACTTCCCGTCTTAAGGTGCATCCTCTAAGCACGTTAATACAATTCCGTTTCACGGGCTGGATTTCTGCTCAGAGCCACTGAACATTTAGAGGCTGCAGAGGCAAAAGGTTGCTTTGGAAAACAGACACGTTTTTTTGCTGAGTTTATACTTCCCTCTTGTGGATCTGAGGGGCAAACAAAATGTTTTTCACTCAACAGTTACTGACTTCGCCACTGGGTGGAGCTCCTCTTCTCAGATCTGATCAAAGGCATTTCAAACTGAGATCTTTGGGTGACCTGTGAGGCTGAGATCTAGCTCATAATAAAGGGAACTTTCACATCTAACGCAGAGCAAGTCGGGGGTTTGTGGTGATTATATCATTTTAAAATGTGTAACGGAGAGTTACAAATGAAACAAAGGCACATTGAAGAGGTAAAGAGATGTTTGAGTGCCTACCCATGGTGTCGTTGTGTTCAGGCTCCAGTGGAGGGTCACTGTAGAAACCTGGTGAGACAGTAAAACACACAAATCTATTAGAAGCTGTGAGCAACAGTCATAATACAACTTATTGAGCAAAATATCTGCTCTACTACGTTTTTTTGGCTGGTTTTATAGCCAGTTCCGAGTCAGTTCTTTATGCCATGCAGTTGCATCACTTTGTGCATCTTTGTTTTGTGTCCTCTTTGTCTGCAGGGTGTGTTCTGAGCACAACAGGCCATCCATTTAAAACCTTTATTTTTATTTAAACGGTGGATAGCCTTTTTTGGTAGAACACACTGCCTGGCTTTACTTAAGGAAAGAAATTACGGCAGTATTGACTATTCAAAACATTAATGATGTTTCTGTCAAAGTCAGAAAAAATATAAAGAAAATGCCTTCAGGGCTAAATTAAATTATTGGGAATATGATAATATAGAGGAAACCTGAGGAAACCTCATCATGGGACTGGATTTTTAATCAATTTTAAATAGATTTTTAATCAGTTATGTCCACAAAAAGGGCTGTTTCATCATAAGAAACTACACCGGTGGTAATTATTTGTTTTATTTGAAGGTAAGGGTACCCATTCTTGTTAAGGAGTGAAAAGGCTAAATAAATACCTCTGCAATGAAGTAATAACTGAGCAGACAGTGAAATGAATCATATTTCGCTCGGATTTTAAACATTTTCAAATGTTGTTATCGATGCTATTTATTTACTTTGTAATTCAGTTTTGAGTTTGTTTAATTGAACTATTGTTATGTCTTTGTTGTTATTTTATTACAGTATTTATTTCTGCATTATATTCCTTTGCAACACATAAGATCTATTGCCAAGCAATTGTTTATTTCAATCGTTATTTATTTTAACTTATTTTTATTGAAAAAAGTATCCATCCAACTTTTTCTCCATACATTTTCCACTGAATTTTTAGAGTAAAGTTTTAGGTTCAATTTCTTTTTAGATTTAATTTTCAGTCATTTTCTTTTTCCATTTCATCCCCCACTTCCTTTCCCAAGCCCACTCATTCCCATATTCTCTCTTTACAGTTTCCCGTCGCCATTACTACAGTTTAGTTTTATGCAAATCAGGTTAATCTAACATCAGCAGCAACTGCAACCTCTCACAGTATCAGCAAGTTTCCACAATTCAATACGCATAATCCACAATATATACAACACCAGGCTGCACAGATAAATAAGATACTTACATCTAAATTACTTTGGATTCAAAAGTATCAAAAGAATGGCTGCTAGTTTTCATTTGTATTAGCTGGAAAACTGTGAAAAGGTGAGGCCCATTAGCTGAGTGATTCTTTGCAAAACCACACACAGTAGATGCTTGACCAGTCAAACCTGACCGTACATAAGTGGATGGACCAGAGTGTCCGAGTTCAGTTCTCTGCCTGATGTATCATCTGACGCCTACAGTCCCTGAACAATCTGCCGACTTCAGATTTGGTTACCCCCCTTGTGTTTGGGGCATTATTTTATACCCACTCTGGCCCCCCGGCTCAGCACATTTGGCGGCGGGGCCATCTGTGCGGCCACCGAATGACCAGCTCTCACTTACAGGCCCGCCCAGGGAGCTGCGTCCCTCCCGCCCGGGCCCGACAGAGCGCTGCCTGTCGTCCGATCAGACCCCCCCCCAGCCCCACAGTCAACAGGAGCATATGTTCTCCCTGGAGCATACACCGACACACACGTGCCTCGGTCACCCTCCCCCTGAACAGATACACTGTGATATTGACAAGTAACAGGCATGCAACAAGCAGCCCGGCCTCGCTAGGAGCTAACCCTGGTGTCTGCGCATTATCAGCAGACCACAGAAACAGGTCAATCTACAAGTTTAATCACGATACGGATGCATACATTCTCTAAATTGTGCCACTTCTCAGTCTTTGTGCGTTATTAGCTGTAAACATGGGCTCGAGCACGGGCGCGCACCCTAAAAACCAACTTATTTAGCATTACTGCTAATTACAGCGCACGGTACAGCTTTCTTAACCCTTTAAAGCCTGATCCAAGAAAAATAGGAAGAATATTGGATTTTTTTTTAGTCTGAAGTCTTTCTTTGGCCCCTCAAAAACACATGAAGAAAAAAAACAGAAATGATTTTGATCAAATAAACGTACACTAAGTCAAAAATGTATTTTGGTGTAGTCTTCTACTGGCTGTTGTCAGGTATATCTGAATGTGTACAACAGGGGTTTGAGCAAAGCTTTTACCATTAGATGATGCAAAAAGTCTAAGATCGAAAAGACTTCAGCAACCGTATCAAATATGATACATTTGGCATTATAGGGTTAACGGCTTATTTTAAAAGGAAAACTTTTTTTTTAGTTTTCTTAACTGTGCAGAAACTCAAAGATAGATTTGTTTGCCTGAGAATATCTGAGAGCCGCCATTATACCGTGGAGGTAAGTGAAATGGTGCTCTGAAAGGAACTTTCCACATGCCTGAGGCCTCTTTCTGAAGCACAATGGATCAAACGTGGGGCGCGCATCCTCCATTCATAGTAGCACCAACAGCACAATACACACTTTTTGGAAGAAACATTTAAAAGCGGTGAGGAGAGGTCGCCTAGGTGTTTGGTTAAAACCGGAGAGACGAAAAGCAGCCGCTGAGCTCAGAGCGGTGTTTAACAGTGAGAGTAGGAGCGTGGTGGATTAGTAGCAGGCTGACCCCGCTCCAGAGTGATGGGCATCGGGGTGATGGGAGGTTAAGGAATGCCGCACATCACAGCTCGCTGTACACGTTTGTGGGCCACCGTTCGGCTGGTCAGGGTTAACTTCAGCCACATTTTGGTTAAAAAAAAAAAAACTATTAAACTGGCTGACAACCTTAAGATGCTGAATAATTAATGTTTTTTCTCATATTAAGGGCAAAATCCAAGATTATTGTTCGAAGATTCATCAGAATCAGATCACCAATGATTTTTTTCTCTAATTTTCTCAAACAACTGAGACATTTAGATCATCTTGAGAGGATTCCACTGGTCAGTAACAGTTCAATTTCTGATCCACTCTGATATATCAAATAATACAGGACAGTAAGGTTCAGGATGAGGTTGAGAATCCACCAAGTTACTGAAAATAAGGCAAATAAGTCAATCCCATCAGTCCTTCCATAAACCATTTCAATTTTTTTTTTCCTCCTGTCAGTTCTTAATAGTGACATTACTGAGATCACAGTTAAATCTTGTTTCAGTCTTTACTTCAAGGCCCCCTTTGCTCACAGATAATGGATCGGTGGTAGAGAAGAATGGAGCTCTCGAGTGTGTGGTCTCTGTCGCTAATCCTCCTGACAGCTTATTGACCGCTATAGCCCGAGGCCGGGAAGGCTTCCAGAGGCAGCCAATGCAGCCGGGGCCTGCTCTGTTGTGACCCATTGTGTGTTGACAAAGAAAGGCCGCATCTTTAACCTTTCACCTTTAAAACCTCTGCAACCTCCAGCACAATCAGCTCCCCATCAAAATAACATACCATCTCCCGGCCCCGCCGTCTCCCCGCTTGTGTATTGGGACGCGCCGTGCATGTTCAAGACGGAGTTTACAGCCAGCCTCTTCGATAACGTATCAGCTCATCATCTCGGCTGGCTGTTATTCTCTAAGTGCACGCGGGGCAAAAGGAGGCGTGTGAAAACTTTAACCTGGAATGCCGAAATCCATTCATTCTAACACAGCGCTGGCTTTCGTGTGCGATACGCCGGCTGATGGAAAAAGGCTGTGAGAGGTGTTACTTCCACCATTAGCGCTTCACGTTTGTGTGACGTGCCGCTGACATTAAACTGTGGCCTTAAACTAAAAGAAAATTTGCGAGTTGGAGCTTTCTAAACTCTGCCGTGAATGGACAGGAACTTTGGGTCATTGGTTCATGCAAGGAGGCACACTTCTTCTAAAACTTTCCCAAGAATGAATTAAAAAAATGAATGAATGAATGTAAAAAAAAATAGGAATGAAGAATACATTTTAAAAAATCGAATAATAATAAATAAAATAAATAATAACTATGAATAATAATATGAATTCTAAAATATTTACGGGATTAACTCGAAAACATGGCAAATATCCAACAAATACATTATTTTGTAATTTGAGGTTATTGA